GCTCTGTCACAGGATCATTTATTGTCTTTCACTTTCGGGTCTTCACGCATTAAATGCTGTCTCATCAAGGGAAAGGTGCATTAAATACTTGTTTTCTTAAGTCGTGTGTCAGCAAGGGCATCTTGGTCTTTTCGCCTTTGATTTGACACAGTACGCCACGTGTCATCTCCCCTTTGGTTGAGCCTTTTGCTTTCTTGTGCGTCATGACACCATCTAGGAAAGATCAGGTCATGATGGCTAATCTAGCTTAGTCCAGGCTGATGACCTATCTATTAATAGCCCTGCAGGAACAGGAACGTCAATGTAGTGGGTACACATCGGTGTCGAGGGTCTAGTACAGTTTGGGGCCGATGTACCCATCAATTCGATCGAAGAATACGTGTCGCCCGTGCATACCGGCGTCGCAGATCCTTATGCATAGTACCATCCTCGGGGGAAGAGGGATCATGATCCGACGAACACGTGTCGTGATTACGGCAGAGAGTATTTCTTAACACCGAATACACGTATCGCTATTTTGGAGTGTCCGAAAAAATGTCCCATCAATCGGCGTTGGAACACTGATTCAGAGTCATCTTCTGAAATCAAATCGTTAATCAATCTCACATTGACGAAGTATCGATAGATCCGCCATTGAAATTGCAGAGAAGCCTCTCATAGTCCCATGAGATTGAAAATTACTGGTAGCTGATTTTTTTTTGTGTTTCGGACTTTTCCTGGCCTTGTAGAAGGTTCTAAGCTCATTATGTGACGCCTAAGACAAATTTGCTCATTTGGGTTGTCCCAACTTGGGAGGTTGTATTTTTATAATTTTTGTAGATTACTTTATAATTAAAAAATTTATTATTTTTGTTGATTTTTTTATCATATTTGTGGTAACTATGTTCTGTTTAATAGGAGAGATGAAAAATTAAAAGGATAGAAAAGTGTGAGAAATAAACTTTTTGTGTTTGATACAATAGATGGAAAATTGGAAGAATTAATTTTCTATTGTTTGGTATTATAGGAAAAGTGAAAGGAAAGAAAATATATTTATATTTAATTTACTATTATACCCTTATATATAAATATATTTTAAGGGCAAAAAAGTCCATTTGTTCAACAAAATAAATATTTGTACAAAAAAAATGACAAAATAGGTGGGCCACACACTTCCTTCTTAACACTTTCCTCACATTTGTGGAGTGATTAAAAATGGTGGGCTCATAGCATATGTTTTTCACCCAATTTTCCTTTCTCCTCAATTTTCCCTTCATACCAAGCAAAGGAAAAAGTCTTTTTCCATCCCATTTTCTATCCACCATTTTTCATCCACCTACTTTTCCATAAAACCAAATAGGCTATTATTTTTACGACTTTTTTTTGTACAAAAAAGTATTACTTTTGTGAATAATTTATTATATTTATAAGTATTTTTATAATTTTTTTGGATACTACAAGAGTGGTAAAAATACTCATAAATATACTAAAATAACTACAAATATGATAAATAAAAGTTTTGTACCGAAATTTTTTTTTGGTTTCATAGTCAACTCCCTGAACTTGGGCCTTTGTATAATTTTTTTTTGGGTTTCGTATTCAAATCAAGATTAAGATATTCATAAAATATAAATCTCTCATAAACTGATCTCAAAGAGTTATTAAAATTTGGACTCCGAATATTCGAATTTATAGTTTGTTCATATTATGACTACAACTATCTCTCGAAGTTGGGTAAATATTGTGTGTAATTATTACACCAAATCACCAAATAAAAAAATAATAAAAATGATAAAATTGGGTCTACTACTTATCATGGATATTATTATGTATTGCATAACAGGGTAATTATAAATTTTAGTAAAACACATTTAGTGACTTGTTTACCTATTAATTAATGTTTACATCATGTAACACTTCATACGTGGTATAACGGTTTAATCCAATATTTTTTTCTTCAAGTTATGGTATAAAATTGTTTAAGAAGAAGAAAAGATAAATGACACTTTGTTCCTTGGAGGTTGTGAATTTTTCACTTAAACCTCCTAAAATAAGTCAAAAAATTACCTCACACTTTTCGGTTATTTGGTCTTTCGTCTGTAATTACATCATTGTATGGCATCTCCTAATAGGTTCCCTAGCCTCGCTGCATTGTTCGAGATAAAAGTCAAAGAATGTTTAGAAATCTTTCCACTTTTGACGCATTGATTAATTAGCTTTTATCTATCTATAATATATAACATTCAATTTTATGGGGCATCATCCAGTGGGGTGGCCCAGTAGAGTATCAGTCAAACTTTTTATTTTGTGGTTAGAGATTCAAGTTTTAAAGTATACATTGAGACTCGGTGGTTAACCACTATACTAATCTAATTATGTTCGTTTCCAAGAAGAGTAATAGGGCGTGATCAAGAGTATTATAATCCCATCGGTAAAGGCATATCGTCAAGGTGGCCTTTGAGTACTCTGCTTTTTCCTACTCTTATTTTTAAGTATAAAAAAAAAAAATCAATTTTATGGGGTGAGAGATTGAAAAGGCTTCTCTCTTTATTTTTTTTAATTTTTTTTAGAATTTTAATGTATTAAGTTAGAAATAAAAGGTTCCAATAATATTTTAATATATGTCCATTATAACCATCTCTTTACTCCCATTGATACCCAACATCTATTTACTGTAATTTCTTTGGTCAACCAAAAACTATTTATAGTGCTTTATTTAATTTTCAAAGTGTTATGGGCAAGAATATTTTATATTCTTGAAAAATTTAGGATATAATATGAGATTTTTATTAGGGGTGACATCCGTCTTTGGTCGGCTTGTAGTCACGTCGTGTCATTTTATATTTGTGTAGAGCATTTGTCAATTTTAACCCAACCAATTTAACAAATCATGTCGACTTATTTATTTTCGTTTTGTTTTTTTGTTCATTCATATAAACCACGAATAAAAAATTTATTGATTCATATAACCCACGAATAAAAAATTTAAAGCTTAATTTTATCTCTAAAATAAAAATTAACTTAATAAATATAATAATAAAAAGAGTAATGATATGTATCCCAAATTTGTAACCCAAATCTGCATCCCAAATCATGGAGAACTATTAGATCAAGGGGTCCCATTTAAAAAAGTTGATGGGACTCAATGATCTAATGGTCCTCTTTGACTTGGGATACAAATTTGGGATACATAGCACTACTTTAATAAAAATGGGTAAAAATAATTTTTTTATATAAGAATTAGGTTGTTATTTGGTAAAATATAATAAAAAATTAATATTTTATTCTTATAATATTAATTAAATGTGTTAATTGTATTAATTTAGTATTATTCATATTTGACATTAATCAAACCTATTTATTATTTATGTTAATGAGTTGTGTCATATATTGGTTCGTGTTGAAAAAAGGATAATTTTAACCCGTTAATTTCGTGTTAATTTTAAGTCATATTTTTGTATAATGTCAAAAATTGCCCCCTTTAATTTTTATGGAGGAAAAGTCACAATTTTAAAATTTTTGAGACAAAATGCCATTAAATAAAAGACTAAGGTAGCGTGGGATTTTTCTTATGAATCCCTTAGAGTCCGTTTGGTTAGGAAGAAAAAAATGATGGAAAGTGAAAATGATAGAAAGTGAAGTGAAAGAAAAGAAAATGATAAAAAATATATTTTTATATATGTATTTGATTAGAATGAAAAATTTATCAGAAAGTTTTAAAAAAATTACATTCTATTATTTGAAAGAAAGAAAAGTTATAATAAATTTTTTATAATTGTCTAAATTACCCTTAATTATATTAAATCGGTTTAAAAAAGAAAAAAATATGTAATTATAATTGAAAGTTAAAAAATTTTAAAAAAATGTCTCGAAACTTAATTTTAAGACAATCACCAATACAAAGGTCTTTGAACCAAATTATATGATTTATCAAATTCATACCAAAATTTTTTAAAATTAATAACCAATAAAATATGTTAAGAAAAATAAGGGTAAAATAGGAAATTAGTTATAGATTACAACTTTATTGTATTTCCTTATGTTTTTTATAAGAAAAAAAAATTGGTTATTTGTGAAAAAATTCAAATATGAAGAAAAATTATTTTTTCTATTATTTTCCTTTTCATGCTTACCAAACACATAAAAAATTTAAAAAATTTCTCTTTCTTGCATTTTCCTGTTCCTGCTAAACAAACGAACTCATAGTTTTGTTGTGAATGTTCTACGATAAAACTGAAAAAAAAAATTAATCAAAATACGTATAAATTAATTCAAATACCCCTAACAATTAAACAAATAAAAAAAGACTACGGTCGTGCATGGATGGTTAAAAGTTAAAACTAGAAAAAAAAAAGAGGCCGAATAAGGGTAATTATGTAATCTGAGTCATCCAACAGTTTGGCTTTAACTCTGTTGCCACGTCCACAATACTTTCATGCACCTTAGTTTGACAGAATCTTCCAGACACGTCATCACTTCCTAACATGCCAGTGCGCGTTCCTTCACATATACGTATTCCTCTTCCACGTTAGCAGTCCTTTGGGCCCCACATTCTCCAACCCTAATTCATTCCAGAGAAACACATTCAATCAGACGATTCCAATTTCGCCACGTTTAAAAAACAGTCCATCTCCACCGCCCATGCCAGATGGCTCGGTCAATACTCAGACAGCGAACAAAACCATAACCACCGTTCGATCTCCAGTCGTAATCCAATCAACAGCCCAGAAATTGCCCGATATTTTCACGGGCAGATCTCATCGCCTTTAAGAAGGCTTGCCCTTGCCCTCTTATTCCTCGCTCAATACTCGTTTCCAAACCCTAGAGTTCCACACGCCTTGGTAATTATTTCTGTGTGGTTTTTGCACATATATATTTTCATTTTTTCGCCGACCGGTGATCGGAGTTTTTTGCCAGATTCCGGTGAACGTCTACTTTGACTTGTTCGATTTCATGTTTTCTTCTTTATCCGATCGATTTTGCCGGAGATCCACCGGAGCTCAACCACGCCGCCGCAATAAATGGCGTCCGCCGTCTTAGCTAGTGGTAATGACTCGAGCTGGGGCCAATCTACGGTCTCTGGATTCATGGGAAAGCTCCCTTACTCCAATCCTCATCTAAAAAATCCTAACCCTAAACCTATATCTAACCCCAAGAAGAAGCAGAAATTCAACACAGCTAACGGCCGGCATGTCGAGGAATTGCCGGCGGTTACTCAGACGGCTTCGGATGACGCGTATTCGTTCAATCAAAGATCGGTTGATGAAATTAGCCGGAATGGTTTCAATCACGGCGGATATCTTAGCTTCAACATCGCTTCGTGTACGAAAAGCGAGTTGAATGAGCTAAAGAAGCGTTTGATGACAGAGTTGGAACAGATCCGGAACTTGAATAATCAAATCGAGTCCGGACAACTCCAGCCCAGATCTCATGGTAAAATCAAGAAATTAAGTGGAAGCAAACGGCCGCTTCCGTTTGGTTCGAATAAAAATTCAAAGCGATTTTGTCAAACATCGGAAATGGAGAACGGTCATGTGAACGGGACTGAGGGTTTGATGAAGATGTGTAGGCAGGTGTTGACCAAATTGATGAAGCACAAGAATAGTTGGGTATTCAATAAACCCGTGGATGCTGAGGACTTGGGGCTTCATGATTACCATCGGATAATTAAGCAGCCGATGGATCTAGGCACGGTGAAAGGGAATTTGGTGAAGGGTTTGTATGCTTCGCCGGCCGATTTTGCGGCTGATGTCAGATTGACATTCAATAATGCCATGTTGTATAATCCTAAGACGGACGAAGTGCACGGCATGGCCGATCAGCTTCTTGCTTTGTTTGAGGATATGTTTAGATCGATTCAGGATAAGTTTGGTGGAGGTCGAAAAGAAGAAGATCGTGGCTTTGTTGGTGATGAATTGCAAGGTAGTTCTTGGAGTCACATCCCAACGCCAGAAAGAGCAAACAAATCGAAAACAAGCCCGAAACCACCAATTTCGAAGAAAAAAGAGCGATTTCAAAGTGGGTCTAGTGCCTCTAATCATTCAAACGCGCCACCATTGAATCCACCTCCGGTGCAAGTACCGGTGCTCACTTCATCGCCTGTGCGAGAGCCCCCTGTTAAGCCGGCGGGGATGAGAGGGGTATTGTCGAAGCAGCCCAAGCCGAGAGCGAAGGATCCGAATAAAAGAGAGATGAGTATGGAGGAGAAGCAAAGGCTAGGATTGGGGTTGCAGAATTTGCCTCAAGAAAAGATGCCACAGTTGGTGCAGATTATAAAGAAGAGGAATGAGCATTTGGCACAAGACGGAGATGAAATTGAGCTCGACATTGAAGCTCTTGACACGGAGACTCTTTGGGAGCTTGAACGGTTTGTGACGAATTGGAAGAAGTTGGTGAGCAAGAATAAGAGACAGGCACTCATGACAAATAATTTAGCTGGAGCCACAATCCCAACTGCAGCTGAATCGGATAGGGTAAAGCATTTTTATTGCTTTAGTTCATTTTCATTCATATTTCTTGAATTCGTCAGCGTTTTGTAATTGGTAATTTGAGTTTCCTAATGATGTGTTTGTGTTAATAGCAGGGTCCAATGAGTGAGAGAACTGATATGGCCAAGAAGCCCAAGAAAGGAGAAGCTGGGGATGAGGATGTGGACATAGACGACGATATGCCCGCAACCAGCTTCCCACCAGTGGAGATTGAGAAGGATGAAGGTGTTTATGAACAAAATCATGATCATGGTCGTGCCACTAGTAGTTCTAGCAGTTCCAGTAGCTCAGGCAGTGACTCATCCTCTTCCAGTGGTATTGAATCTTGTGTTACTACATTTTACTAAGTACTTTGTGTCTTGGAGTTGTGATGTCAATGAAGTTGCTGGCAGTGGCTTATGATTTTGAGGTCCTGTTTACAGATTCAGATTCAAGGAGTTCTTCTGGGAGCGACTCAGACGCTGATGATGCACAATCATGAAGTTGAATTAAAGGAGTCTGCAAACTTGTGAACTGGAAGATGAAACAAAAAAGTTTGAACTCTTACTCGTGTTAGGAGGGCATTAATGTAGGAAACTTACTGATGAGGTAATAGTCGATTTCAACTATGCTTGCCAAATTTTGATGATGGGCTTCTTAATGGGAATGAGCTGAAATTCTGAACTCTCTTTTGCAGAGTTTTTTGGAAAAGTTGTGGGACTTGTAGCTTAGGATTGGGAAAAGGAAAGTGAAAGATGGGGGAGCTGGTGGCTGGGTGAAGCAAAAGCTTATATAGGTACAGTACATTGTATGTATGTGTGGGGGACCAAGTATTCAGTTTGGGGATGAAGTTGGTTAGAAGAAGGAAATATGTAGTTCAGAAGAGATTGGATCAAGGTTTAGTCATGGTCCCCAGTTAGAAAATGGGGAAAAGTTGATAGTTGAGTGGATACTGCTGTACAGAATTACCACATTAGTAATGCATGAGTTTCTTCATGGAACAAACCTTTCCAGTGCAATTCTGTTTGTCTTTCATCAAGTGTGTTTTAACATAACGGTAACATAAGTGTAAAGAACTTTAGCACTCTCTTCTCAGTATGCAATAGGATGGAATTTGGAAGGCTCATCTACCTGTTTGTTTCCTTTGCATAGATTTGGATGGTTGAAGAGCTCTAACAATGTAGTGTGGCTCGTGTTTTTTTTTTTGGGGGGTTGGGGGGGGGGGGGGGNTGAGCTCGACATTGAAGCTCTTGACACGGAGACTCTTTGGGAGCTTGAACGGTTTGTGACGAATTGGAAGAAGTTGGTGAGCAAGAATAAGAGACAGGCACTCATGACAAATAATTTAGCTGGAGCCACAATCCCAACTGCAGCTGAATCGGATAGGGTAAAGCATTTTTATTGCTTTAGTTCATTTTCATTCATATTTCTTGAATTCGTCAGCGTTTTGTAATTGGTAATTTGAGTTTCCTAATGATGTGTTTGTGTTAATAGCAGGGTCCAATGAGTGAGAGAACTGATATGGCCAAGAAGCCCAAGAAAGGAGAAGCTGGGGATGAGGATGTGGACATAGACGACGATATGCCCGCAACCAGCTTCCCACCAGTGGAGATTGAGAAGGATGAAGGTGTTTATGAACAAAATCATGATCATGGTCGTGCCACTAGTAGTTCTAGCAGTTCCAGTAGCTCAGGCAGTGACTCATCCTCTTCCAGTGGTATTGAATCTTGTGTTACTACATTTTACTAAGTACTTTGTGTCTTGGAGTTGTGATGTCAATGAAGTTGCTGGCAGTGGCTTATGATTTTGAGGTCCTGTTTACAGATTCAGATTCAAGGAGTTCTTCTGGGAGCGACTCAGACGCTGATGATGCACAATCATGAAGTTGAATTAAAGGAGTCTGCAAACTTGTGAACTGGAAGATGAAACAAAAAAGTTTGAACTCTTACTCGTGTTAGGAGGGCATTAATGTAGGAAACTTACTGATGAGGTAATAGTCGATTTCAACTATGCTTGCCAAATTTTGATGATGGGCTTCTTAATGGGAATGAGCTGAAATTCTGAACTCTCTTTTGCAGAGTTTTTTGGAAAAGTTGTGGGACTTGTAGCTTAGGATTGGGAAAAGGAAAGTGAAAGATGGGGGAGCTGGTGGCTGGGTGAAGCAAAAGCTTATATAGGTACAGTACATTGTATGTATGTGTGGGGGACCAAGTATTCAGTTTGGGGATGAAGTTGGTTAGAAGAAGGAAATATGTAGTTCAGAAGAGATTGGATCAAGGTTTAGTCATGGTCCCCAGTTAGAAAATGGGGAAAAGTTGATAGTTGAGTGGATACTGCTGTACAGAATTACCACATTAGTAATGCATGAGTTTCTTCATGGAACAAACCTTTCCAGTGCAATTCTGTTTGTCTTTCATCAAGTGTGTTTTAACATAACGGTAACATAAGTGTAAAGAACTTTAGCACTCTCTTCTCAGTATGCAATAGGATGGAATTTGGAAGGCTCATCTACCTGTTTGTTTCCTTTGCATAGATTTGGATGGTTGAAGAGCTCTAACAATGTAGTGTGGCTCGTGTTTTTTTTTTTGGGGGGTTGGGGGGGGTGGGTGGTGGTTTCGAATTGTGACCTGGGACTTCATAGGACGTCCATGTGGAGTCACGAGGTTGCCAGATATGAATTGGGTGGATAGAAGCAGCAGAAATCAAAAAGCAAAAGGTTGGATTCTTCCCATCTCATGTGCTTTGCTTGCTCATAATATAAAAATCATTTTTCTCCAAAATACCAGTCAGGGATTAGCAAATTAATGTTCCCTAAGAACAAGGATCTGCTACAGTAACTCAGCTGATGAGAAAGCCCTTTGCTTTGCTTGATGGACATGGAATCCTAGGACAGATTTATGGGAAACTATAGTTAAAAGCTATTTTGATGTTTAATCAAAAGTCCAATGATCACATTGCTATTTGAATTCAATCTTAGCATCCACAATATCTTCCACAGTGCTCCGTAGAAAGTTCAAACAGCGTCAACGGCACTCAAGGCTTTACCATATGTCACAAATTCTATAATCTAGTCTCGTAAAGGATATTTGAATGTTTTACGAATGACTCTGCATCCGAAACTTATGTGACAAATGTTACGCATTGTGCTGCACTTGCTTGAGATGATTCTCGGTTGTTACTAAAAAATTTCTACGTCGCTTAAAAGTGTAGTAAAGAGGAAGACATACAGGCTTCTATCAAAAATAAATTGATACAATTAGGTTAGAGTGGAACAATTGTAATCAATTTCTCCTGTTTGAACACCCAAGACTCAACAAACCAAAAGCTACAGGGTGAAAAAAGTGGTTTCACCAACAGAGAAAATCTACCTTGATAGTACAGGTTAAACAAAAAAAAATTCTACCACAAACAATCGTCCAAGTTGTAAATATACAAAACTGCTAAAAACCACCTACCTGTGACCAAGAGGAAAAACATACGACCAGTGTCATGTCAAACATTTTAGCAGCTGCTGCTGCCTCACTTCTTTACCTCCTCATACTCTGCCTCAGGGGGCTGGTCACCACCCTGAGAACCTCCAGAGGAGGAGTCACCACCAGAACCACCGGACATGTGCTGTCCAATCTTAGAAACGGCATTGTTTGCAGCATCAAGCTTTGATTTGATCTCATCGATGTCATCCTTCCCCATTGCATTCCTCAAATCTGCAATGGCAGACTCAATTTCGGACACAACTTCACTAGGAACCTTGTCCCTGTATTCGTTCAAACTCTTCTCAATACTGTATATGGTGGTGTCTGCATTGTTCCTTATATCAATCAGGGCCTTCCTTTCTTGATCTCTTTGGGCGTGCATCTCAGCTTCCTTAACCATCTTCTCAATCTCATCTTCGGACAAACCACCAGATGACCGAATGGTAATTTGCTGTTCTTTACCAGTGGTCTTGTCCTTGGCAAAAACAGTGACGATGCCATTGGCATCAATGTCAAACGTGACTTCTATCTGAGGCATGCCCCTAGGAGCTGGAGGAATGCCCACAAGCTCGAACTCACCCAGGAGCTTATTATCATTTGCCATCTCGCGCTCACCTTGCAGTACCTTAATTCCCACCTGAGTTTGGTTATCAGCAGCTGTTGAAAAAACCTGAGACATAAAAAAAAATAGTGCCAATTAGTTGCACCGCAAAAACCCCCTACAGGGCCAATCAATGATATATATATATATATAAACCGCCAATATATTCTTGACATCCAAGATTCCTTTCATGCCAATCAAACAATGATTTGAACCATCGAATTTACAATTAGAAATACGAAACAAATCTAAGGTCAAAATAACTTAGAAATAAAGCAATTAACAGCTTAACTAGATAACTATAATTGGAATCAACTCACATAGTTTACCACCAATATATATATTTTAAATTAGGCTTCAGAAATCACCTGGCTCTTCTTAGTTGGAATGGTTGTGTTCCTGTTGATCAATCTGGTGAAGATACCCCCCAATGTCTCAATACCAAGTGATAGGGGAGTGACATCCAGAAGTAGTAACTCTTTGACGTCACCACGAAGAATACCACCTTGGATAGCAGCTCCCATGGCAACTGCCTCATCAGGGTTCACTCCTTTGCTAGGGCTCTTACCAAAGATTTCTGCAACTACTTCCTGCACCTTTGGTACTCGGGTCATCCCTCCAACAAGGAGGACCTCATCCACCTCCTTAGTTGATACGCCAGCATCCTTTAAACAACTCTTGCAAGGACTCCTAGTCCTTTCAATCAAGTCGTTCACCAGACTTTCGAATTTTGATCTGGTCAGTGTGATATTCAGATGCTTAGCACCCGATGCATCAGCTGTAATGAATGGCAAGTTTATTTCAGTTTGAGTTGTTGATGAGAGTTCTATCTTGGCTTTCTCAGCTGCTTCCCTCAGTCTCTGCAAGGCAAGCCTGTCTTTTGACAGATCAATCCCCTCAGTTCTCTTGAACTCACTCACCAAAAACTCTAATAGGGTGTTGTCAAAGTCCTCGCCACCCAAAAATGTATCACCATTTGTTGCTTTCACCTGCACCAAAAGAATTAGCAGTGGAACTTACAAAGACAATAGAAAAATGCAACAAATTACTTAATTGTTTGAAATTTATGAACCACATAATGAATTTACAATACCTCAAAAACACCATTTGATATCTCTAAGATGGAAATATCAAAGGTCCCACCCCCAAGATCAAAAACTGCTACAAGACCCTCTTTATTGTTCAACCCATATGAAAGTGCTGCAGCGGTGGGCTCATTGATGATTCTTTGCACATCAAGACCAGCAATTCTCCCAGCATCCTTTGTCGCTTGCCTCTGAGCATCATTGAAATAAGCTGGAACAGTGATAACAGCTTTGTTCACTGACTTTCCAAGATATGATTCAGCAGTTTCTTTCATCTTGTTCAAAATGAAGGCTCCAATCTGGCTTGGAGAATATTGCTGCCCATTGGCTTCAACCCATGCATCTCCATTGGGACCCCTGACAATCTTGTATGGAACCATTTTCATCTCTTTCTGTGTCAGAGGATCATCAAAACGTCGGCCAATCAGACGCTTGGTTCCAAAAATTGTGTTTGTGGGGTTGGTCACCGCTTGACGTTTGGCAGGAGTACCCGCAAGGAGCTCTCCTTTCTGGTTGAAGGCAACCACAGATGGTGTGGTCCGAGAACCCTCAGAATTTTCAATAACTTTAGGATTCTACCAAAACAATAAAAATAAAAAGAGAAGTGTCAATCAGAGCTATGACAATAACAGCAATTTCTAATAATATGCAATGATTTTCTCAGACAAACAGAAGTCCAACCTTGCCCTCCATGACTGCAACACATGAGTTTGTAGTACCCAGGTCGATACCAATGACCTCGTTCCCAGCAGACTTTGAGCTGCAGAAAAAAGCAGCAAGTATATAAAGCTGAAGTTGAGGATGATAAAAGCAGGTATATAACATAATAAATTTATATCTACAGTACCTGAATGGTCTGGCCAGAATGCCCCACTTGTGACCTAAAGGGGACGTAGCCCATGATGACTTCGCATTTCCAGTCAACTGCACAAGCAAAGCAAAGCAAAGTAAAACACTCAGCAAGTAACCCACTTTTGCCAATAAATTCACTCCAACTACAACCAAAAAGATGGAAAGATCCAAAAAAATCTATCAAGCTCAGAGCATCTGCAAGAATACTATAGAAAGTGCTTTTTTTTGGTCAGAGAATATATAGGAAGTTTGACAGATGAAGGTTTGAAGTCCCAGGGAGTAGTGAATCCTCAAGGTTTGAAAAGCCAGACTTTTGTAATGGCCATATTAGACAATGTGCTGCAAAGAAGGAAATGCAACATTAACATGGGGCAAAATTGCTTGATCCATAGGATCACGATAACATGCCCAATATAATAAACTAATAATCTAGGATACCTGCTAAATAGTTAGCCAAAAAGAGCAACAAAAATGCATATTTAACTTGGCATATTTTGTGCTCCTAGCAATAACCACACTAGGAGTGTTTGATTCAGATAAAACTGGGGATAAGATTGAATAATTGATTCCAATCCAACTATTCTAGTGGTAATATACCATTGTATTCTATTCCTAATTTATTTGAGTCAAGGTTGAGATAAGACCTTAGAGAAGGTATCTAAAAGAGGAAGCATACGTTATCCACTTCAAGTGACATAGCTACGCTCAAGTTTCACCAACTTTGCGTCGGTTCATTGAAGTGAAATCTTCTTAAAGCAAAATCAATGGCGAACATTAGGATGGTACTTCAGGAACCTTCTTAGATAACCAGGTCAATTTTCCCATTTTGGCTTGGATGGAAAATACTAGGCAGGAAAGGAAAACTGTCCAACCTTTCAATGTATTAAGATAAAAATAACAAAAGCACCCTTGTATCCAATCCCATCCAAAACCAAGACGGGAACTCTAGTAATTTATGATCCTAATACCAATGAGGGTTTTTTAATACCACCTATCATATGAAAATAGTTTATATCGTGTACTATTAGATACTATAGCATCAGCCAATAATAACTCATTTAAGACTGGACCATAAAACATGCTCCAGACATGATGTTAAATTATATAATTGAACTAATATAGTCTAATCCCACCCCCTAATAATCATAATAGACATGCCCATACCATAAAGAATAAAACTAATACGATATACCATCCTATCAAAATAAAATCAATCAAATCTGAATCCCACCAGATTGGAGGAGTTGCATCCCCATAAAACATAAAAACACCGACAATCAAATTAAAGGTTATAAAAATAGCTAAACAAAAACTAAACCTCAGATAATTATATATCTAATAAGATAGCTAACACTTTAAATTTTATCCCCACATATTTTTCTTGCCCATTTCTACCACAAATTGGATCATTTAATTTTTGCTTAATTTGAGACACAATACAAATTTTATTTTGGGCATTGTTCATATACGATAATATACCTCATGTATTTTGAAAAAATTTAGTAAATTTTTTTAATGTTACACCTAGCTTTCAGACACGGATTATTTCTACTACAACGATATCACAAATATGCTTGTATAAAAGCCCACATTTTTGAATACAACACAGCTGCAAAAATCCATCACCATAATAGCAAAACCCGAGCTCACAAAGAACCATGTTACAATGCATAATATGCTAATATTCTGTCTTATTACATACAATTTTTAGAAAGAAAAAAAAAAAAACCCCTGGATACTCATTTTTTTAACCAGAGGAACTCAAAACTCGAGGGAATCAGAAAACAAAATATAAATATATCGAGCGAATTTAGAACATTGAAATGATAGAAAAACCGAAAATGAAACAAATCAGTCCAACGGAAGCAATGTAAGAGAGACTTACGGATTTATAGGCAGAGAGAGGAGATGAAGATAAATCACGACGACGGAGAGATCTGAGCAGGACCGAGGTCGCCATTGAATATATGATCAGCTGATCACTCAATTTTCTTCGGGAAACAGAACTATTTTTTCTTTTCTGTTTATTGGTTTTTGTTAGGGTTTAGGGTTTTGGAGCTCCTGCGTTCAGATGAGAGAGAAGAGAAGAGGCGTACAGTGGCGAAGAGAGAAAAAAAAGGAGTTGGGGGATTGTTTTTTGTTTTTTTTTTTTTGTGTGTGTGTTGGGGTGGAGTTAGTGGCCCAGATCTGAAGGTTCTAGATTCATCATGGTTATTCAAATAATCAAAGTTAGGAAAAATTCAGTCACACCCTTATTAGTTTATCATAATTTCAAAAACACCCCATTATTAAAACACCACAAACCCCCCGTCCCATTTTTTTTTTTAGTTTATATTTAAACATGACATTCATTGCCATTAAACCACCATTTATAACAATCTATAATAATAAAATTGCCCCTACATAAATCTCAAATAATATTTATACATAAAATTTGATTAAAATTCTAACCAATTAAAATTTATTTTTTTACATATTAAAATTTTAACATATTAAATTTTTTTTTCTACATATTAAAATTTGAGTTAATTAAAATCCGATTCGAATTGGTTAAATTTTATTTTTTTATATATTAAAATTCGAGCTTATTAAAAGTCATTTTTTCATATATTAAAATTTGAGCCTATTAAAAGTCTTTTTTTACATATTAAAATTCGAGCTTATTTGAGCTGTTAGTCCTGATTAAAATTCTCTTTGAATCAATTAAAATTTATATATTTTTTATTTAATAAAATTCAATTCAAGTTGATAAAAAATTATTTTTGATGTATTAAAATTTAAGTCCATTAAAAATTATATTTTTTTATGTATCAAAATTCGAGCAGATTAAAATTTAATGTGAATTGATTAAAATTTGATTTGAGCCTCGAATAACATTTTAATAGACTAAAATTTTAATAAGTAAAAAAATATAATTTTTAATCGACTTAAATTTTAATTTACTCGAATTAAATTTTAACAGCCCCAAATTTTAATACGTAAAAAAAATTAGAAAATAGAGAGGTTTTCATTGAAGATATATCTATATAGAGGAAATATGGATAAAGTTTTTTCTAAAATAAATCATAGAAAATTAAATAAAATTTATTCTAATTAAGACCTTTAATTTAACAAGGAGTGTCAGTGAAAATTTAAATAATAGAGGAAATATCTTTAAAGATATGATAAATTAGATGAGTGTGATTGAAATTTTCTCTCTAAGAAAATGACCACCACCCCCAACTTAAAAACGTGAGTTCGAATCTTGTCTGACAATTTTTTTTAATTAATCATCTCAAATAATTTATTAGAATTATAACACTCATCATTTGTGAATTCAAAAATTTATAATTCATTTTTTATTTTTCTCTTAATCTAATCAATGACGTATAATTTTTTCACTTATATTTTATTTGGTATGATGAAAAATTAGAGGGATAGATAAAATATTATGTTTGATAAGAAAGAATAATAGGAAGGACAGAAAAGTTAATGAATTAGCTTTTATTCCAAGTTATCAAAATCAATCTCTCCAAAATTGAGAGGAAAAGTGAATGAAAAATTAATTATGTGTATTACAATGTATGTTATTTCTCTATATATTATATTTATCAATTTGTATATTATATATATATAAATTTCATATATAGATATAATAGTAAAATATGTATCCATAATTTTTCCATCCTTCTACTTTTCTGTCTTACCAAATATAAAAAAATAAATTATTCCTCCTTTCCATCTTTTATACCAAACACAAATGAGGAAAGAAATGATTTTTCCCTTAAATAATAGAAAGTGTACCACTCTCATTTTTCATACTTCTATTTTTCCACCCATCCTACTAAACACACTATTAGTTTACATGCAAAATTGAGTATAAATCTCTAATTCTAAAAAAGTTCCTTTAAAACCAAATCAAGAAATGAAAAAGAAAATCAAAAAATTTATTCATATCATTCTAACCAAAGTTGTTTTTGTTGCCCCGCCCTTCTAACACGTGATATATATATATATATATATACTAGCGATAATTAGTGTTTGAAAGTATTGTACAATTTAAAAAAAAAATCAAAGATTGACCGTTAACATGAAATAAGCAAGCATTGAACTTCGTCACACACTAAGTTGAAAACCTAACATGCCTCCTTTAATACACCCGCATTTTACATAAATGATTAACAAAGTATTACTTGGCATTTGGCAGGTGTGTTAGGGTTTTTTTAGCGATAACCTATGTATGAAGGCATTGTACAATTCAAAAAATGAAACATTTATCGTGAACACAAAAGAATCAAGCCCGTAACATAAAGACATATTAAGCTCAAAACCTAAACTTCATTCTTAAATGCTGCACTTTCTAAATATGCTCAACAAAGTATTACCTATTTAAAGATTCTCGTGAAAAAAAAAAAAAATTCAATGGCAAAATAATGAAAACACAACTTTAATAATCCAAAGCCCACAATTTTAAACTGAAAACCCATAAATTACATATACTTCAAATTATATACCCAATTGGAATTCACAGTAGCACCAAACCTATGCCATTAAAAGAAATGTTTGTGTCCGAAGAAACTATGTTATGCTGAACAAACAATTCACCAATATTTAATCAAAATAAATTTTTTTTTTTGCGCTTTCAAAATAATTTCAAATTTAGTTAAAATAGTACATAATCATATCAATTTGATGAAAGATAATGTACAAAAATATCAATTTGATGAAAGATAATGTACAAAAATATCAATTTGTTAATACCTGCATTGTATTAATTATTTCACTTGTATACACAATTTTTATAAACAAACTACGACAACCCTGAAAGAAGTAACACACATTTGATACTGCAATCACGAAATATTGATAACCCAAGTATGTAATAACCAAAAGAAACACACTGATGACATAAAAAAAAAACCACTTTATTCCTCAAAGTGCCCAAACCCATAAAACCAAAAACTAATTTTTTTTTTCTACAACATCGCATATTAACACATGTCACCAACTGCACAAAACAAACACAAAGAAAGTGAACAGATTTGTATAAACATAACATATTCAACCTCAATTGATATCCCAAAATCACATAACCTACTGATAAAATCCGCCATTTTGGTCCTAGTTTACACTTCTCACACCAATAGCAACAGTTGGAAAATCATACTAGCTGGCGTGCTATATTTGTTATTCCATTGTTGGAGGAACTTGTCTTCTCCTTTTTCTTAGATCTAGCATTTGTTGTTACTGTTGTCCTTTTCTTTTTCTTTTTTAAAAAAATATAGATAATTGGAAAACCATTTTAGTAAAAAAAAAAATAATAGATTTGGTCTGGCACTACCTCAACTATAAGGAAGTGATTAAGATCACGCCCTTCATGGATGACAACGCCTACACTATTTTTTTGGACCAACAGAACCCTTAAATACGCAAAAAATTACAAAATAAGAAGTAATAATAAAATGAAAAAAAAGAAATCCATCTTACAGTTTTCTCTAAGTCTTCATCCATCTGTAATAAAAATGGGTGACAAAAATTACAATGTGTCTATGATTAAACAAATCTCTAGTGGTGAATAACTACGATAAACAAATGAATAAAATTTGAAAGACTCTACGTAACGCAAAAAATCATACATTCAAAAAAATGAGGATCCATTGGTATGTTCAATGATCATGTTTCTATTCATATAATAGGTGGGGAGGGTGTGCGCATCCTCTGATTATGGGTGTATTGTTGTTGTTGAGTTGTGGTTTGAGTTTGAGGAGATAAATGCTTTGATCTGCAAGTATTTTGGTGAAATTCCTTGGTGTCAATTTGATCAAGAAGGGGCTAATATGGAGCAATTCAAAGCTTACTTTTACAAAGCATATATGGATTGGGATGGGAGAATCAATGTAGCTGAAGCTGTTGCTTTCTTTCAAGGATCCAATTTATCTAATAGATGGGACATGTGGTTATCCTTGTTAGTATCCATGCTCAGGTCTAGCTAATACTTATGCTTAAAGGCACTATGTGACCAAAAAATTTTGATAACTTAAAAAGATGAGCGTCAACAAAAGAAAGGTGGCGCACATAACCAGTGAATGACCAACTTTTCCTTAAAAAAAACACTACTATGAAAACAAAAACAACATTGATAAAACAGAACCTTAAGGAAGGGAAATCAGAGGAATAACAATGCAAAGAGGATAAAAGGGCTTAGCTATCAATAATATATACCAAGATACTCACCTAATTCAACCACCAAAAAAAATAATTTGAAACCCACAACCCAACAATTATTGGAGTAAGAAGAATTTTATCGCAACTCAAGTTTAATACACAAATGCTGCATTGGATGCTTTCATCTTGGGGGATGTTTACAACAAAAAACTCAAGAGATAGTTTTAACCATGAACATGCCACTAATGATGGTACATCAACATAGAAGACAAACAAACCAACTCGACGAAGCCATTATGTTATAAAAAATTCAATTCAACAAAAAAATCAACCCCACGAAATCAATGCAAACCAATAACAATAAATACAAAAATATGAAAAAAAAATTTAGTTACAAAAAATTCATTATAGATATATGTGACCTTCCTTGTACTTTGGTGGTTGTGCACCCAAAATACCAACGTCAAGGTTAGGGTTCAAAGGTTGGTAGAGAGAGAGAGGAAGAGAGATAACATGTGACCACAACCACTAAAACATCTAAAAACCCACATCGCTTAATTCATGTGTTTGATAATAATAAGTATGATGTTCTCAAGAGCTCCACCTTTTTACCAAAGAAGAAAATATGTATAAAGATCCATACTTCGATACCTCTTGACACGAAAAATGGTTGAGATTTGTGAGAATGATTGGCGCATACAGTTCGATTGCTCTCGTTGAATGCTTCTAGCTATTGCATCACAACACTGTGAAGACTGGAGACTGTTTTTTAGTGCTTCACTCTTCTCTTTGTCGTCATGCCAATCCAATTTCAAGATCAACTGCTGTTAGACCATCCCAAATGCAAAAAGAAACTATAATAAGAACAATAAAAATATTTGGAGTATATCAGCGGAGTCCAAATTGACAAAACTAGGTCATTTGATATGAAATATAGATTAGAGTATAAAACAAACATTAAAAAATTTACACATAAAAAACAGGAATAGAAAATTTAGAGTAGATCAA